TTTCCTCTGTCAGCTGGGTGTATTTGAAATTTCAGCAACTGTCTTTCCCTCTGTGGTTTAAAATACAAAACTGTGGCAGTTTCTTGAAGGAAGCAGTAGCTGTGCAGAGTCCATGAGGACACACCCTGTCAGCTCAGTGGGAGTTTGTGCAGTACAGGGTCTGCAGGTGGGGCACAGGTGTCCCCATCCCTCCCCTGGACAGTTATCACAGAGACAGCACATCTCCCTGGTCTCTCCAGTTGCCTGTGGTGGTGCTGGCACCTGTCCCCAGGCTTTGTGACTGCCAGCAGTTGTGTCACCCACAGATGATGCCACTAAATCCATGTAACACAAAACTGGGAGGGTGAATTAAGTCCAGACATAAACAACCTCATTTTCTAGGAGCACGTGAGTGAGGTGGACACACAGTTACTGCCACAAGGACACTGGCTGTGTCCCTGTGTTTGTAAAAGCCTGTTTGACCACACTAGGATCAACAGAGGAGAACGTGTCTGCCTAACTTCACAGGGCACTTGCCCGGTGCTGGACTAACCCAGGGATAAGTTCCTTTGTGGACTTTGGGCATTGCTTTCCTGATGGGGCCCCAAGCTGCCTTTGCCCTGGGACATCACCATCTGGCCCTGCATTGTTGTTGATCAAGGTGTGGTATTTCTACTTAATAAAATACCTGCCTCAGTTAATCAGCCTGCCCACAGTATGCTTTAGGTCAGTCACTGCCAACGCAGTAACCTTGCCATTTAATATTCTGGGATGTGGGATGCAAGTGCCTTTAAAGAGAAGGTAATTAATGTTTAGGGCAACAATTATTTACAATCTTCCTACTGGCAGCAGAGGAGTTTCACAAGCAAGGTGAAGTGAAATTTGAATGGTTTCAGTGCAACATGTATGTCTGCTAGTTCACCTGTGCAAGGAAGTCCTTGGAACAGAGGACTGAGGGGCTCGCTCATGTCTCACTCCTGAGAGGCTCTAAGTCTCACTCCTGGTAGGCTGGCAGATGTTAGCATCCATCTAACAACATCTGGTGCGAACAATCAAGCAGGATTTACCTTTTTCTAAAAAGAAGCAAAGGACTCGTCTCAGTCCTGATAGTGAGTCATTTAAAACTTGTCTGTCTCCAAAACACAACCTTTCTTGTTAAAAATATTTATGTCTGTCTCTCTTTTTTTGAACCTATGTTATCAAGATCAGGTGTACCTTCCTCCTCAGAGTCTAGAAACCCAGCACTTATATTTCAGAAGACACTGCATTTTAATGGAGATTAAATTTTTGCCTTTGCTAGCATTAATCTCACTTATTGGATGCTGGGAATCAGTTTGTCTTTATTAAGGCCACTAGACCCATATTAACAGCCCGTGCCTTGTGTAGACCCACAACACAGGGTAGCAGGTTTTCATGACCAGTTTATTGTTGACTTTAAAAATGCACAAGCAGGTTTTAACACTTTGGAAACTGGTATTTTCAAAAACTGTTTTCTTGAGAGGGATTGCATTTCAGTCTGAAAAGGGTTAAATTGTGTTGGTAGCCCATTTTGAAAGGCGGTAGCAGCAGAAGAGAAGAGCTCTCAGACCAGACAGGCTGTGCATTTTCTCATCAAGCTACAGATGATCACTGATGATAAATGTTCTGGTAACATTTATCAAGGTGTTGATTGCATGAACGTAGTCAAGGTGTTGATTGTGTAACACGACAATGAACAAGTTGTTAAGTGTGTATTTAGTTACAAAAATTAGGGCTATATGGGCCCTATAACTTTCTTAGGTAGGACTTACTTATGAAACCCAGCTCTATGTAGCTGCACAGGAAAAAAAACCCAAACCACATTTGATCATGAATCTTGATTCAAAACAAATTACATATGGATAAATGCATTTTAGGTTCATAAGGAATTTTTAATGATGCACTATCACAAATGGTGTGTGGCAGTGTCTGCAGCAAAGGTGGCCAGCAGCACTTAGAAGCAGCTTCAGGTACAACTTGCAATATGAGAAATCATCTTGCTGGTGCAGTGCAAAGTGCTGGAGAACATGCAATCACCTGCATGGCCATTGAATTACCAACTGGTTTCTGGGGGTCAGGGGAGATTTTTTCATCTCCCCTCACTCCACAAATCCAGTAGCCATCTGTAGCTTTCCAGACTATAGCCCCAGACACAGAGCCCTGCAGATAACAAAGATATAGACACCTATTTTGTGAGTTGACCTGAAACAGGTGGCTTGAATGGAATTGGTAATTTTTAAACTTAGCCAAACTTGGGGTGATAAGTACTTGACTTGCCAACAGGTGGCTCATGTAAAGGTAATTATTATTTCCACCAAAGTGTTTGTATAACCAGCTGTGCTTTTATTCCAAGAAAGGTGAAGTTACACTTCTAGGAGCAAACTGTCAAGTGAAAAATGAAGATGTTTTACTCTGTCTTAAGTTCTTAATTATTTCAAATAATTCCCAGGAATAAAATTAAAATGTGTGTTAAAGGGTGTCTGTTAAATAACTGTTAAAGGGTGATGTTTGAATCTGAGAGAAATGTGTATCAACAGTTCAAGAAGCTATCCATGACAGATAAGGCTTCAAAGGAATCATGTTTAGTAAAGTATTACCTGAGCATCAGCATCACTTTTACTGCTCTCCACTTTCTTTATCTTCTCCTCTGCTCTCCATATTCTTAAATTAAAATGGCTCAGATGCATCAACATGCAACACTCATAGCCAAAAAACACGTGCAGGATCAGGTCCTACCACAGACCAAAGCTCAGAGGTCTGGTTTCCCAATCCCAAATACATTTAGGAGTTGAACCAGGCTCAACAGTGTTTGCCCTGGCTTGTGCAGAGGCACCTCTGGGTATAGACCAGCACAGCTCTGGACAGCTCAGGAGCTTTACTGAAAACAATCTGAGGTGCTGAGGTTACTAGGATTTTAATAGATTTTGTGAACCATACAAATCAGACTTTGGTGCCTAAAATTTGTGCTGATATTTTTGTGAACTTGGTCTTGCTGCACTAATGAAAAATCTTCCTTGGTGGTCATCAATGCAATAATGGGACAGAGAGAAGCCTGTCTCACTGAATAAGAAAACTGTATAGAATAAATAAATCTCTCTGAAGCTTCATCCTTTTTTTTATTTAAAATAAAAAATAACCCTGTCAAACCTATATATTGGGAACATTTCTTACAGCGGTTCGCAGTGTCCTACAAGGGTGAGTGTATTTTGACAGTTCCATCAAGAGACTGGTGATGAATGCAAGTCATGACAAATAAATCAGTGAAGGAAAGACTGATGGAGTTGTAGAATGCCATGGGAAGGAGCCAACTGTGTAACATTCAATAGGTGGGATCTGTTCGAAATGCAGTTGGGATAGGGCTGAATGCAAGGTTGTGGCATTCAGAGTAGTAAACACAAGTCATGCCTGCTACATGGGACATAACCAGAGCACGTGGTGCTTCTATAGAGGATTTGAGGTTAGAATTGAAAAAACCCCTCCCAACTCCATGTGACTTGCCAGTGACAAGGTGTGAAGAAGCAGGCTTTGGCAAGATACACATGGGGAGAAGGAGGGATGATCTTCATCCCTGTATATAGCAAAGGTGAAAAAGGCTGAAACTCTAGAGAGCTGTCAAAAGACCAAAACCCAATAATTTTAGGATAAAGTGACTAATTGTGAGCTTAGCCTGCAAGTTCTATTCAAAAGACAGACTTGTGTTGTGATTCAGTGACTTAAATATCACTAGAAGGCATAAGCAGAGGTCTTGAAAGAGTGTTTAGTCTATCTAATCCTGTCTGGAAGCAAAAGCCAGAGAAATTCTCATAAGAAATATTGCACACTTACTTGTATGATGGAGTGGTTAGCAAACAAGCCATACAGGGATGTGTGGTCCACAGTTCTCTGATTCCTTACAGCCAAGGTCCTTGTGGAAAATACAATTTACTCAGATAAATGCTGTAGCACCTAATGTGCAGATAACACTAAAATGTAATGGTCCATGTCATATACAATCACTTGTATTAAATTGTCTGGTGGACCATTGCAGCTTTAAAAGTCAATGAACTAAGTACTCTCAGAGTCCAAGGTGTCTTATTTAATTGTGCTCAGAAAGAAAGCTCACTGTCTTGCAGTTTTGGTTGTTAGCATGGTCATTTCCTGTATGTCTACATTTCCTGCTCTCTGCCTGTGTTCAAATGCAGAATAAGGTTTCTGTGATTAGCCTTCTTCTTGCAGGCTTGCGGTGCCATGCTTGGTTTAAAGCACAGCCTCTCATAAAGGAGTGATTCTCTTCAGCTTTTGTCAAGTCCTGCTGTAATAATGGAAGAGACAAACACCTCAGACATTGTAACACATGCAGTAGGCAACTCAGAAGCTTGTCAGATCATTCTTTGCACAAAAGAACAAGAATTGTCCCCCACCCCCACTGCTAAAGTGAATTTATTATTTCCTACTTGACAGTTACTGCAGAGGTCTAGAGGAGCAAGGGGTTGTTATCAAATGGAAACTGTCTGGTGCTTCTCATGCATTTGCCACCTTTCACCACGGAATATGGCACCTGGTGGTTGTGCTGTTCAGGAGTAAATGGATTAACTGATGAGTGACTGAGAGGGAAGAGAAGGCTCTGTAGGGTACCTCTGTCTTCCTGTCAGTATCTTCTCTCTCCCAATTCGGTGTAATCTCCTTCTTACCAGTTCAAAGGCGTCTTGAGATATTGATGTACTTGATGGCATGCATTCATGTGCCTTTGGTGTCCTGTGACAGCAGCTCTTGATGCCTGGGATGTGTGAGCAGGTGATCCTCGACCATTCCCCCAAAGAGGAGCTTTGCCTATGTCCAGGATGCCCTGTCCCTGCAGTAACATTCTTCAGGCTGGTGTGACTTGTTCCTCTGTTTTTCTGCAGCCTTAGTCCCAGTTTGAAAAACAAACTTGCAGAACAACTACAGGAAAATGAAAGAGAGAGGTGAAATTCTCATGGTAGCTAATAGCTTTTAACGAGTGTCCTCCTTCTTCATTTGCCCAGGTTTTATCAGGCTGTGAATGAGTTTGACACCATGACTGCTGAGGATTCCACTGCAAGGATGAGCAATGATTCCACTAATGTGGCCACCACAAAAGTGCCCGAAGGCGTTGCCGGTGCGCCCAACGAGGCGGCTCTGCTGGCCCTCATGGCCCGCACTGGGTACAGCATGATCCAGGAGAACGGGCAGCGCAAGTACGGAGGGCCTCCTCCCGGCTGGGAGGGCCTGCACCCGCCGCGGGGCTGCGAAGTCTTCGTGGGCAAAATCCCCCGCGACGTCTACGAGGATGAGCTGGTCCCCGTGTTCGAGTCTGTGGGCCGCATCTACGAGATGCGCCTGATGATGGACTTCGATGGGAAGAACCGTGGCTACGCCTTCGTGATGTACACCCAGAAGCACGAGGCGAAGCGCGCCGTCAGGGAGCTGAACAACTACGAAATCCGCCCCGGCAGGCTGCTGGGCGTCTGCTGCAGCGTGGATAACTGCCGGCTCTTCATCGGAGGCATTCCCAAGATGAAGAAGAGAGAGGAGATCCTGGAAGAGATTGCCAAGGTGACAGAAGGCGTGCTGGATGTCATCGTGTATGCCAGCGCCGCAGACAAGATGAAGAACAGAGGCTTTGCCTTTGTGGAGTATGAGAGCCATCGAGCAGCAGCCATGGCCAGGAGAAAACTCATGCCAGGAAGGATCCAGCTGTGGGGACATCAAATTGCTGTTGACTGGGCAGAACCAGAGATAGATGTGGATGAAGATGTCATGGAGACTGTTAAAATCTTATATGTGAGGAATTTAATGATTGAGACCACGGAGGACACCATTAAAAAGGTGTTCGGTCAGTTTAACCCTGGCTGTGTAGAGAGAGTGAAAAAAATCCGTGATTATGCCTTTGTGCACTTTACAACCAGGGAAGATGCCATTCATGCCATGAACAACCTCAATGGTGTTGAACTAGAGGGCTCGTGCCTGGAGGTTACCTTGGCCAAGCCTGTAGACAAGGAGCAGTACACTCGCTACCAGAAAGCAGCAAAAGGAGGGGCTGCAGCAACCTCCGAAGTAACGCAGCAGCCTAACTATGTTTACTCTTGTGATCCATACACACTAGCATACTATGGATATCCATACAATGCCTTGATCGGGCCAAACAGAGATTACTTTGTGAAAGGTTAGTAAGCACAATTAGGGGATGTGACGGGCAGCTTTGATCTTAGGCTGATGCCAGAGGTCTGCCTCAGCCAAAGGACAGCTAGTTTTTTCTTAATACTCTTGTATAGGCCTTTTTGTCATATTTCTGTTGGGTCTTACTTTAGTTTATGACTACATAAAATGTATATATCTATAAATAATTGCAAATGTGCAAGATAGTATAAGAGAGATATCAAATATGGGGTTAAGAATAGGTAAAAACCAAGCATGAGATGGGGAACAGATGGATCTGGGTTTTATGAGCAATGTACTAAGTCTGAGCAAGTCTAAGGATTCCATTGTCTGATGTCTCCTTTCAAAGAGCTGGATCCTATGACAGAGTGCTTTGGAGACGTGGGTATGGTGACCTATCCAAAGGGAAGGAGTTAGGGAAAGCCTTAGTTAGGAGCTCTCTAGGTGTCATTTACCTTCCTCATTAAAATGACAGTAATGCTGTCCTTCATAAAGTCATTTGAGAACTACAAGCAGAAGGAATCACGTGAGTGAAAAAAAAAATATTTTATTATATATACCTTAATTAGTTATCTGTTACAGTCATTAAAAATTAACCAAAAATCACTTATTCATAAAAAAACCCGAACAGCTATAACTAGTATTATAATTACAATTATCCTGTACTTACAGGAATTAGAGTTTCCTGACATTTGATGTGTATTTCCATAGAAGAAGCAATTTAGCATAAATATATTCTTAAAGCTCCCACATAAACCGAGAAGTATTTTTGACCGTAATCGTTCAAGAATTTCAGCTTCTTCTCAATTTCCAGGTTTGTACTTGCAATGAACTATGGCAGAGTTGAGTAACAGACTAAATATTCAATTAGGTCATCATAAAGTACATCAATACTGCAGTGTTCAAAGTACTGTCAGAACAGATGTGTAGTCACTAAGATGAATAAAGGCAATATTATTGGAAATGGGTTATATACACCTAATAAAATAGCAGAGAAAACAATTCAACAATGTAAGTGAAAATATATGCAGTCATGGGACAAAGTTGATTAAAGGGCAGGTGTGATGCTGTGCCATCTTGGCAGAGTCCCATTGCAGCCAGTTGGGTCTCCTCTGGAGGACATCTGAAAGCAGAAGCTCTTCCTAATGCACAGAAATCAGCCAGAGGGTCCCCTCACTCTCTACTGACTGCATTGAACCTGTAATACTCACCACAAGAGTTCCATCAATATAAATGAGCAATGAATATATGCTCACAAACATCAAAAGCTAAACAAGCATAGGATTACTGGATACTTCTCAGGCACTTCTGTTTCCTTAAGCAGGGTCACTAAGACTCACCCATGCTGATTTAAGCAGCCACATTTCTGAGTGCAAGCCTCCAGGTTTCAGCCATGCTCCCCACAGGGCTGTCAACTGTCCATTGCTCACCATCTTCTGTGTTGTTATCATAAGCAGGCAGCATACGAGGCAGAGGGCGAGGTGCAGCTGGCAACAGAGCTCCGGGTCCCAGGGGCTCCTACCTGGGGGGATACTCCGCCGGCCGTGGAATCTACAGCAGGTACCATGAAGGCAAAGGAAAGCAGCAAGAGAAAGGATTTGAACTGGTTCCCAACTTGGAGTTACCTGCAGTCAATCCAGTGGCCATTAAGCCTGGTGCAGGTTAGTATGTGTAAGGAGGGGAGGAAAGCAGGGGTGGTGGGCAGGCCCCCACTCCAAGCCCTGTCTCAGGCATGTGAGAACCCCTCCAGGGCCAGTCCACAACTGCAACTGCAGCGATGGGGATGGTCCCAGTGCTGGGGCTCAGTCCCCCCTTGTGCAGAGTGCCTCCTGGCCCTGGCCAGACTTTCTTCACACAAGAGGCACACAGCGGGATAGGGGACACAAATATCTGGGAGTTCTTCAGACCAAAGTAAAAAGGACTAAAGCAACTCCCACTCCTCCTCTCCGCTTTTGCATTTGTTTAGGAGGAAGCAGACTTTCCTCTCCTTCTAGTCCTGGAAACCAGAACATGGTGACTAAGATCAATCTTCCTCTCTTTTAAAGTCTTCAATGCTAGTTTCACCCTGGGAGATGCCTATCCTAGATTTCCAGCCAGGCTGGAGCCCTGCCCTGTTTAGTCCATCTTGCTCCAGTGGTATGAGGCTGAGAAAAGGATCTGGGGCTTTCCCATTGCAGGAAAGTCCCTGGGTGAGGCAAGCTCCTCCATCTCCATCAGTGGCATGGGGAAGGAGCAAGGCAGGGAGCCCTCAGGTCCATCTTTGCAGCTGTGCAGTGCCTACAGGAGTGCTCTCATCTCTGCTGGGCTCTGATGGGCCAGTCCAAGGGCTGGGGCAGGGATTGCCCCCTTTCTGCTGCTTTGCCAGCTGAGAACCCAGCCCTTGCCATTCCCAAGTGAACAAGAGGAAAGCTGAAGCTCTGCAATTCCTCAAGATCCTGTTTGGAAAGATTTTTATTTGGAAAAGTAGCCTAAGGAAGAAGGTCCTTGAAGGGGATGGGGACCCCATCCTGAAGTCCTGATGTCTTCTCCTTCATTTTTCTTTCCAAGTAAACTGTAAATGGCAAGATTGCTTAATAATAGAGATACTGTGGTTTCCCAAAACATGTTTCATTTATGTCAGTGAAAATTTCAGCTTGCATCTAATGAAGTCTGTGAAGAGTTCTTCATAACAGCTGGATGAGATAATATCAGAAGTCTAGAGACAAAGGAAGGCTGTTGAGATTAGAGTTGGAGAAAGATCAGACTTCCTGAGAAAACTACCCACTCACCACCAGAAAATATTGCTGCTACGTGTGTTTGCAAAGATACTTTAGGAATTCCAGCTATTACTAAAGGATGCTTGAAAAGTGAGCTTGGAAATGCATGCTAATTAGTGGTGTCTATATTTCATTCGACTGCAAACAAAAGCTTGAAGCTGAAGCCAAAGTGTTTCTACACTTGAAGCATGTTGAGATTCAGGGTTTTTTATCAGACCTTCCCCTGTTGTATGGTTCCTCTGAGCACAGCAGCACCTGCTCTGTTTTCCCCAGTCACATCAGCTGATCTAATAAGAGGTACCTCACAAGAGTTACCTCTGTTATTAAGAGGGTATGACTTTGAAAGTACACTACCAGAACAGAGGAGTAGAAATGTACTGACTACAAAGTTTCCTGCCTACTGTTTAGACCAACCTTAAAGCTCATTTCTCTGCAAATAGTTGGAATACTCCTGGGAGGTCGCCCCAATACCCCAGACGCCTGCTATGGTTTTTCTGCCAGAAGTTATTGCAGAATGGAGCATGTGAGCTCTTTGCCTCGGTGAGAAATTATCCAGGATATTTAACCACAGATAAAACTGGTTTGACCTGACCAGGTGGACTCTGTGTAAAAGGAGAACTGGAAAACCTCATGTGTTTGGGGTCTCTGCTTGAGGAAACAGTGGTAGTCCACTGGTGGAGAGCACATTTCTGCCTGAAAGATACCTGATCAGCTTCCTTGTTGGAGTCTCCAGGATCAGAGCAAGAGTAGTGCTTTCTGTCACCTCCTTCCACCAGGCATACCTGCACACTTTAACACTGCAAAGTTCCATTGCACAGAAATAAACCTATGGACATATTTGGCTTCATTTCTGGCTTAGTGGCTCCACCTCCCGTAAATGCCAACGCCATCTCTTAGTCCATCATCCATTATTTATGGATTTCTTTGTTTTCCTTGTGAATAGCCTTACTGCTAAAAAGCTAACAAGCTGAATGCTGAAGAGTGCGATATGAGGCAATGATGGAAATCACAGCATCATAGAATGGTTTCCATTGGAAGGGACTTTAAAGAACGTCTAATCCAATGCCCCTGTCATGGGCAGAGATGTCTTAAACTAGATCAGGTTGCTCAAAGGCCCATCCAGCCTGAACTTGAACACTTCCAATAATGAGCCACACAAAACTTCTCTGGACAACCAATCCAGTGTCTCATCAGAGTATTTCTTTCTTATGCCCAACCCTTTTTCAGTTTAACCCTGTTACCCCTTGTCCTATCACTAGAGGCCTTACCATAAAGTCTTTCTTACAGGACCCCTTTAAGTACTGAAAAGCTCCAGCAGAGGTCTTTATCCCGAAGGCATCTTTTCTTCAGGCTAAACAACCCCAACTCTCCCAGTTTGACTTAACAGCAGAGGTGCTCCCTCTTGTTTAACCTATTCTGAACCTGCTCCAACAGGTTCACATCCTTCTTATGTTGGGGGCTCCAGAACTGGACACAGCACTCCAGTAGCAAACAGATGGGATAAAACATATTTAGCCAAGCTAGTCCTGGGAAATGCTGGTAACAGAGCTGATATTTTCACAGGATTGGCCAAAGGATGGCATGTAAAGCAGACCCATTGCTGCCTGTAACTTCTGCAGTAGAAACCACAACTTTCTGTCCTGGAGCAGCTCTTCCTATGGCAGCTACATATTCCTTGATGTCAACAGCTGGAGCAGGGACTCATTTGATGTCAACAACTGGAGTAGGGGACATTACACACTCTTACTGCCTGTGATCAGGCCACTCTCAGCCAGAGAGAAGGACAGCAGTGGTCAGAAGGGGTTGTGTAAATCTGGGTCACAGCTCCCAGTCCCCAGGAGGACTGGCCCTAGGGTAGTCATGGCAGGAGCATGGGGGAAAAAGCAGGACCAAGCAGCACTGAGCCTGTCACTGTGCATCAGCTATGGTGCTCCCATGCATGGGAGGGAAGAGATGCCCCAGGTCCCCTGCCTGCACAAAAGGCTACCTGCCCTGATGAGAGCAGCACAGGATCACAGCTGGAGAGTTGGCACAGCTGCAGGGGAGAGTCTTTGACAGGAGGTCCTGGAAACTCTTTCCCAATGTATCTGATATGTCTGGTCTCTCCTAGTGGCCATCCCTGCCATTGGTGCCCAGTACTCCATGTTTCAGGCCGCACCACCAGCCAAGATGATGGAAGATGGCAAAATCCACACTGTTGAGCACATCATCAACCCCATAGCTGTCCAGCAGGACCCAGCTAGTGCAGCAGCTGCCGCAGCGGCCGCAGCCGCAGCTGTAATACCAGCTGTGTCAACACCTCCTCCCTTCCAGGTGAGCTCAGCACAGAAATCCCGCTTCCCATGCATCCTGCTGTGCATACCCAGGGTGGGGGGAAAGCCTGCTCTCTTGCCCTGCTCCATTCAGGACAGGCTCTTGAGGGTGTCACAGTGCCCAAGAGCCCTGAGGTCCATCTCACCTGTCAGACATCTCTGCACATTGGGCTGTTGCTTTCCCCGCTATGGGGGACCCAAACCGTGAGGGGGAAGCAGCCTCCCCTGGCAGCATAAACTCTCAATCAACAGCGCACACACTGCCTACCCTCTCCATCACCCCCTTCCCTTCCGGGGCTTTGCCATTCATGGAAGTGGGGTGTCACAACAAAGCGCATTTTGCGAGGTCTGCTCCCTTTCCCTGCAGGGCCGCCCCATCACGCCGGTGTACACCATGACTCCCGGCGTGCAGCGCATCCCTGCCGCCGGCATTTACGGGACAAGTTACGTGCCCTTCGCCGCGCCCGCGGCGGCCACGGCCACAATAGCCACGCTACAGAAGAACGCGGCCGCCGCCGCCGCCGCCTACGGGGGCTACGCCGGCTACATCCCGCCGGCATTCCCGGCCGCCACCATCCAGGTGCCCATCCACGACGTCTACCCCACGTACTGACACTGTCGGCGGAGGAGGGTGCTGGGGAAACACACACTGAAGGAACACTTTACTATTTATGAAGAAAGAACTGTCCGCGAAAGAGTAAACATTTGGGCTTGGTAAAACAATGCAGAAAGTGAAGAATGTCATAGAAAAACGTGTTTGAAATATTTTCTATGCTTGAAGTTTTCACTAACTTTTTTTAGGCTATTTTTAAAAATTTAACATGCCTGTATTCATACATTTCCAAAGGACCTCGGTGCATCCAGCCCACCACTGACATGCATTTTTATGCACTGCAGTAGGGTTGCATAGGGTCTTTTTTTTTTTTTTTAGCAGTTATATTTTCAATATATTTGTGGTATGAAGGTTTTTTTTAGTAATTTCTGCACTCCAGAGATGTCTATTTTGTAGTGCCTTTAATAATATATCAGCTATATATTAAAAAGCACACCTGAGCAGCTAGGGAAAGTTTTAACAATATATTTTGAAGAGTATATTCAATATTTAAATACATACCTTAGTGTTTTGTTTTGTTTTTTGTTTTTTAAGAAGAAAACAACAAGTATCTTATTTAAAAATTATACTGGAAAGTGCAATTTGAAAAATGTGCAAGACCTCTGCATTTTTTGCTGGCATTAATACAATCTGCTCATTCTCATTTGAAATCACAAGTAACTAATATTGCCTGTTTGGAAGAAAGAGAAAAGAAAAAAGCCTCCTCACACATACCTCTTCACAGTGTGATTTGCAGGCTTGTTTTCAGCTAAAGAAAGGCTCCAGGTTTTCCTTAGCAACTGGATTTTCTATTTATTGAAGCTACTTGTAGTTGCAGCACGTACAGAAACGAGTAGCTGGTGTTTCACGCGAGGTGTCTTGACTTAGATCTTCATCCAGTATAAAGCCAAGGCTTTTTCTCAATGCTCTTCATTTTATTCTTTGAAGTATATGTTGTAGTGACTGAGAACACTTTGTGTTGCTGTTAGCAAGAGTAGCCACGCTCTCACCAAGAGGATGTGCAACATTACTTGCTCATTGCTCCATCATGCTCCATGAGAAATTCCAAAGGTACTAGGGGTGGTAGTGATACTGGAATTAGTGAAACAGGGCTAGCCTCCCTCCCAGCCTCCCTTCCACTCTTAATTCCCCTTCTCCACAACTGGAGTTGTACATGCACATCAGGGGTGGGAGTGATTAGACCCAATAATTTTAAGACATTGAGCTTGTAAATATCTTTTAATATACATTTTAAAGTCATTTTATGTTGCAAATTTACATGGTATGTGGTTTGCCACAAAACAAAAACCTTTTATTGCAATGTTATAAAAAAGTTTGTTTTATTAAGAAGTAAATATATTCTTGCAGTGTTTTGTGGCCTGTTTAAAGGCTTTTATTTAGTAGTACAGTGAATGTAAAATAGAGTAAATTGGTAAAAAATATCTTGCCCTTTGTATGAAGTGCATCAGCTCTACAAACACAAGTCTGGTGACAAAAGGTGAGAAGCAGGGAGTCAGTAAACAATGTTCCTTTACTTTTTGAGGTATAAGTACATACCAAAGGAGTTTCACATTGGCCATATTTTGACAACTGAACCACTTCCAGACTACATTGAGCTCAGTTAAGTGACCTTTTTAATACACTGCTTTTGCTTGCCTCAAAATTGAGCAGTTGTATTTTAGGTGCTCTTGCTCAGACAATCTGAGCTCCCCTTGACCCTGCCAACCCATTAGTAAAAGCACTGTGAGGTTACCCATTAGGTTGGACTCTGCTCCTCCATGCCCCTTCCCAGGAAACTTTTATTGTCTGTACCTGCACACCTGAAAGCACAGCCAAACCTCAGCCCCAAGGTCCTGCCCTTGTGCAGGGTGAGAGAGGAGGAGATCTGGGCAAAGCCCAAGGGCCAAGCCCCCAGCCAGAGTCCAGCACTGCCTCCTCCAATCTAAGGTCTTGCATGGCTCAACACTGAACGCCAGCGTGGGTCCTTGGGCCGCGCACAAACAGCCCTGGGGCCAGCACAGGCACTCCAGTGGTCTGGGCTCTGCTGGCCCTTCCAGCCCCACGCCATGGCCGACTCCCAGAGGAGAAAGGAAGGGTGAGGGCTCCCTTCCCACTGATCCTCTCCCTGCCAACAGGACAAGGGGCCTGCTGCTCACAGAGATGGCAGGAAGAGAAAGGAGCCAATGAGGGAAAACTGTGAGGTGTCCCCAGCCAAGAGTGGGTGCTGCCCGTGCCAGGGTAGCAGCAGGCAGCACCCGGGGATGGAGGCAGGACCCAGGCATGCAGACAGCCAGGTCATGCTGAGCCTCCTGCCCATGCCTGTCTTGACATTTACTTCTAAACCATTTCATGTACACTACTACTGAGGTAAGTTTAATAACTTGAAATGTGAACATCTTTAGGTTAAGAACAAACTATTCTAAGAAAAAAAGTATATATATTAAAAAAAACAAAGCTAGTGTGCCTTATTCTCAAAAGAGCTGATATTTTAGATATTTTATTGTATCTCTCTTCTCTGTATTGTCAGAAGCCTCTGAGTTTATTTAGTTCTTGCTCCATTTATGGTACATTTCTAGGATGTAGTGAATAAAGCATTCTTTAAAAACAGAGACTGTTACTTCATTGCAACCTCCCACTTCATTGCAACCCTCCCACTTGGAGGCTGTGCTCCCCTCCAAGCTGGGAAGAGGGTTTTAGGGCAGGAGGGAAGTAGGGCACTGCAGCCAGCATCCCTGCAGGCTCCTGCAGGGAGGGGAGACGAACTGTCCCACTGACTCCTCTGTCCCACCGCCTGCAGAGAACAGTGACCATCCCAGCATGCTCACTGGGCATCTCTCCATTCTTCCAGCATCCTCTGAACAACCAAAATCTCTTCTTGTATGCAGTTTAGAGTCAGTGCCTAGATGTGGATGGAGCTGCAGCTAATATCTCTCTGTGCTTTCCATCCACCCCATGCACAAATTCCTGTATCTCCTTGTATATCCTCACTGCCAAGCAGGACCACTGGGAACTGGTTCATCCTTTTCATTTCAGCATGCTCCATGCTTCAAACACACAGAAAGCTAAGCTGCACCTCATCTGCAGTGTTCTAGACTCCCGCTGTTTCCTTAGTGTAAATATGCCTGGAGAAAATTTGCTGCAAATACCAAGTCTGTGGAGAAGTCTGAGGCACCAGTCCTGGCTAACGAGAGAGGTCCCAGTTGCTGGAAGATATCAAATCTGACAACTATCTACAAGAAGGAGTGGAAGGAGAAACCTGCCAAAAGGGAACTATCAGGAGTGACCCACTTAGTTGGTGAGGCAAAGGCTGTGGAAGTTGTCTAACCTTATTTTAGTAAAGCCTTTGACACAGTCTCTCACAATATTCTCCTGGAGAAATTGGCTTCCCATGGCATGAAGGAGCACACCATTCACTAGGTAAAAAACTGTCTGACTGGCCAAGCCCAGAGTTACACCCATGGATGGAGTTACATCCAGCTGACAGCCAGCCAAGAGCAGTGTTCTCCAGGACTCAGTACTGGGGCCAGTCCTGTTAAATGTCCTTGTTGATGACCTGAACAAAGAGACTTAGTGCCCATCGGTCAGTTCACAGGTGACACCAAGTCAGGTGGGAGTGTTGATCTGCTGGAGGGCCAAAGGCTCTGCAGAAGGACCTGCACAGGCTGAATCCATGGGCCAAGGCCAACACTATGAAGTTCAACAAGGCCCCTGCCAGGTCCTGCACTGGGGTCCCAGCAAGCCCAGGCAGTGCTCCAAGCTGGGGCAGAGTGGCTGGAATGTGGCCCAGTGGAAAAGGAGCTGGGACCACTGGCTGAGAGCTGCTGAGCATGAGCCAGTGTGTGCCCAGGTGGCCAAGGAGCCAATGTGTCAGCAACAGCGTGGCCAGCACAGCCTGGCCTGTGTCAGCAACAGTGTGGCCAGCAGGACCAGGGCAGTGACTGTTCCCCTGGTACTCAACACTGACACATCTCAAATCCTGTGTGCAGTTCTGGACCCCTCACCACAGGAAGCTCATTGAGGGGCTGGAGGGTGTCCAGAGAAAGGCAACTGAGCTGGGGAAGGGTCTGGAGCACAAGGCCTATGGGGAGCACCTGAGGGACCTGGGGATGTTTAGCCTGACCAAAAGGAGGCTCAGGGGAGACCTGATCACTCTCTACAACTGCCCAAAAGGAGATTGTAACCAGATGGGGGTTGTTCTCTTCTCCCAAGTAACAAGTGACAGGGCAAGGGGAAATGGCCTAAAGGTGTGCCAGGTGAGATTTAGATTGGATATTAGGAAAAACTTCTTCACTGAAAGGGTGGTTAAGCATTGGAAAGGCTGCCCAAGGAAGTGGCGGAATCACCATTCCCTGGAAGTGTTAACAGTATATGGATGTGGCACCTGGGGACATGGTTTATTAGTGATCATGGCAGTGCTAGGTTAGCAGGACTTGATGATTTCAAAGGTATTTTCCAGCCTCAATAATTCAATAATTCACTTGGATGAGAAAGCAAACCAGCAAACCCTTTATAGTTTAAACATGAGGCATGACCTTCACAAAAAGCAATGTTTTCCAAATGAGATGAACTCTGCCACATTGAAATGTTTCTGCACTTTCCTTTTTCCCTTTACCCAAGCTATCCAAGATTAAAATTAATCTACACAACTTTTTCTAAATGTACGCTTTACAAGATTATTTTTTTAGACTGCTGATTTCTGTCTTCAGTTTTGTAAGATCTTAATTAATTATTAACTCGTCGTAAGGTTGAAATATGCAAGTCATTCTCAGGATATTAACATAAACAACACCAGAGAAATGCAATTGTGCTTTCAAGATGACCTTGCTGCCTTGGGAATGTCAGGAGCTCTGCTGAGGCCTTGGGCACTGTGACAACTCAGAATGCTGGGATCAAGGTGATCCCATTCCCTTTTTGAATGTCTTTCTTCATGGTCTTGAAGAACAGATGTGCTCTTCCCTGGCTGGTATCATCCTAAAAACCATGCTAAAAACCAGCTTTGGCTTTCTTCAGGAAACATCATCCAGTGGCACAACTGTGACACAACTATTACATGAGCAGATTTAGAAGAAATCCAAGTGCATCACTCTGATATGGCAACATCTCATCTATAAAAACACTCAGAGTACATGTAAAATGCATTTTTCATACATACAAAAAGGTAGATGCAGTACTTCATCTCCTTCTCTGTGGCTGGTGTTACACCCCTAACACTTCTGGTCTGAATGAGTCCTGAGCACTTACAGGACTCTCTGCTCCCTGGATGCCAATCAGCCACAAAACTGGCCCATCATGCTGACATGTAAAATAAATAAACCCAGGACCTACATTGTAACAAGAGAAACCAACTCTGCTGTGCATCTAAAAGCCAGCAATATTCAGGTTTTATGCTCCAGTGTGTCAATTAAATGCTGAATCACACTTGACTGAGTTTTAGAGCCAAGTCCTGCCTGGCAGCA